GCCGGGAGACACGGTCCTCCAGCCTCCTCCCGCCCCGGCCCTGGCGACCCCTCCGAGGCCCAGCCAATCAGACCGCCGCGACGCCCCGACTGCGCCAATGGCCGCACACAAACAACTCCTGGAGAACCAATAGCCGTCCGCCCCGGCACGTGGCTTCCCTCCAGGCCCGCCTTCTTAACCCTGTCTTCGCTGGCGACGGGCCTGTTGGCGAGTCGACACCACTCCTGGGTCTGCTGGATCCTCCACAGCCTTGGAGGGGCGAACCCCGGGTTAACCCTTTCCTGCAACACCCCGCCTTTCCCTTGCTCTTGAGTCCGTGTGCTGGCTGGCTCCTTGTAACCCTGACTTGTCCGGGTAGCTTTCGTGGAACCCCTTTCCTCACAAAGGCACCCGTGGAACCCCTTTCCTCACAAAGGCACCCGATTCACCAGTCCTGACTCCCCCCTCTGCTCCTTACGGGGTGTTGTGGCTTCCTAGTCTAGATGACTGACCCAGACTGAGTGCTTGCCAAATTCGGAACCAGAATGTAAGCCTGTGCCTATCTGCATGCAACCCACTCGCTTCCATAAAGGTCCAAGTGGCTCTGGAAAAGGTGGCGTTTTGCTTTTTCCAAGTGAAAAACAAAAGAGTAAAAATCTTCACGACTAGCAGTGGTGGAGGCAGCTGCTACAGTCGGTGTGAATTTTGGAAACACTTTCATTTTTATTGTCTAGTTCATTTGATTAAACATAAATTCTTGGGCATCTTGCGCGACCCCCTGAAAATGCAAAGGTCTCCGTCTCTGGGCTTCTTTAGAGCGAGGTCCTGGAGGTGGGGGCCGGGGAGACCCCTCCCCCAAGCAGCCCCGCCCCTTCGGTGGGCGTCGTCGCGCGCCATCTTGTGGTAGAAAGTGGTATGTCCCACCCCGGGCCTGGAGCCCGACTCACCCTTTTGACCCACCGTGGGCCAGCCCCTAGCGTGTGCTAGGCTTTGTGCTGCCACCGGGAGACAGACAGAATCAGGACACAGCCTCTCCGTCAATCAATTCTCAGTTTGGGAGATGGCTGCATATGTAAATAAGTTACAAGAGAGTGAGATTGTAGCCAACAATCTGTTCGAAGGACTCCTAGTGGAATGAGTAATCGTCCTGGTGCCAGACAGGGTCTCACTCTGTAGTTCAGACTGCTCTGGAACTCACTGTGTAGCCCAGGCTGGTCTCGAACTCACAGCGATCCTCCTGCCTCAGCCTCCCGAGTGCTGGGATTACAGGCATGCACCACCAAGCCCGGCCTCATTTAATTCTTAAGACAGTTCCCTTGTACTATTATTGGCTCCATTTTCTAAGTAGGAAGGCCGAGATTTGAGGATCGCTCTCAGCTATGATCTGACCAGTTGCTTCGCTGCTCGCCTCGCTGCAGCGTTTCCAGTTGCCCGGTGAGCTGCTCTGGCCTCTCTCTCAGCCCAACGTCCCTGCGGATGGACCCCATTGCTAACTCCCAAACCAATGAAAATGCCGTCTTTTCTGTTTGGGTCATTCTTTCTTGTGACTGTCACCTATGCCACTCTTCTCAGCTTTGGGCGAAGTGTAGTATCCTAACGTCACCTGTCCAGTCTTCGGGTCTTAGCTTAGCACCCTTAGGTCCTGATGTTAGCAAGGTGTGAGCGCTGACCACGCTGTGGCATTTGCTTGCTGGCCGGGTTGGCGGGGGACACGCCTCAGAGACATCGAGAAGACCCCAAACCTTGATGGGCTAGCAACTAGGCGGTGAGCTGGTGACCTCAGTAAAGTCAAGTGTCAGCTGGAGTGCATGAGACGCGATATACAAAAGTCAAGCCCTGTGCCTAACTCTAAAAGGCACCTACTAATATTACTGGTCAACATTAAAGTAGTAAGGAAAAGGCCACGACTCTGTCGGAACAGAACTCGTGAGAGCTAAAATTCCATAAGGTGGGCTCTGTATTTGGATAAAAATCACTTTTCTGCAGAATTGGCTGCCGGGTGCATGTGGCGGGCAGCAGCCACGGTAGATTAGGCGTGCTGACACGACACTCAGTCCCCATATGTCCCACTCCGTGCAGTGTGGGCTGGTGGCGGTCTCTCGGGGAACCCAGAGCTTTTTTCAGCACAAACATCAATCACAGTTGCGGGGTCAAAGGAAGGAGAACTGAGGGAGTCCCCTCACCGGGAAATAAATGCGTCAGCCCACAAGTGAGCCACGCCCCCGTTAAATCTGATTGGCCAGAATTAGTCACATGGCCTCATCCAACCCGGAAGGGCCGTCCCCACTTGTTCGCCGAAAGGGCGGGATCGCTTTGACCCGGTGGCAGAAGTGCTGCCACTCCGAGGCGCTCAGGAAGTGTAGCATAGCAGAACAGAGGGTCCCTGCTGTGGTGGGCATTATGGCATCTCTGCTACTTACATGTCTTCCATGTAAGAGGAGCGCACTAATCCTGCGAAAGACTTGTTATACGCTGGAGTGTGAGTGTTTTTACCCAAGCAGCAGCACATGTAAACCCGTTTTGACTTAATCGGGAAATGGTTATAAGGACTGCCACGTGACCTGTTGTTTCCAAACAAGTGCATTCCAGATTCTGGAAAACAAGTAAGGTCCCTGATCATAGGGCTCTGAGAGCTTGGCAGCTCTGGGTAAGGGGTGGGATTTTCCTGGGGGGATTGGGCATCCCAGTCAATCATCCCAGGAATGGGCAAATCCCTCCCAGAGCAGAAAGCAAGGGGGCGAGGGGCTGGACACTGGGCCCAGCATTGTCATGCTGGAGGGTGTGGAGGGCAGACAGCTGCCAGGGCTGAGGTTGGGAGACTTCCGGGTACATGCTTTGACCTCCCAAGAGGCACCGGGCCACGGCTGTGGAAGTGGCAGAATGGAGATCTGGCTCTGTGCTTCGCTGGGCAGTGACTTCAGCCATCACTGAAGTCTTGCTAGAGATCACAGCCTTGGGGAAAATTCCTTTCTCCCTCCCTGGTGCTGGGGATTGAATCCAGGGCTTCGTACATGCTGGCAAGAGCTCTACCACTGAGCTGCACCCCTAGCCCAGCCTAGGGGAAAACTAACAGGAGGACTTGCACCACAGTTTGGGACAAAAATATCAGGGTGGACAGGGGGAGCCTTGCTCCATCCCAGAGCCTGTGAGGAGGGGACAATCTTGGCACAGAAGGGGAAGCTGACCAGGAACCACTGGAAATGTAGGGTACAAAGAGGGTGCTTACCCAAACAATGCAGTTACTTACACTCAGTACCCACACACTTCTGGGGAGCTTCCAGAAGAGTAGAGCTCCTGGGTCACTGGTTCATCTTCTGATGCCCTCATCGAGTGCCCAGGGACGGTGAAGGGGAACAGACGCAGGAAAGCAGGTTCTCACCTGAACTCAGACCATCTCTGCACCCAGCCTCCCTCCATGCTGACCAGGACTACCCAGAGCCACGGGGGATTCCACCCAGTGAGGATTCTTCCTGTATCTAGACTTTAGGATCTGGTTTATGTGCTGTGACCAGGAGCAGGGGCTGGTATCAACGCCAAGCCTTGGAGACCCCAGTGCCAGGCTTCGCTGGCCAGGACTTAGCTGGCCATTTAGATAGAACTGGGGCTGCCAAGGGCCGGGACATGCAGGGCAGAGGCAGGTGTACAAACTGGGAGTTGTTTATTGGTCGCCGTGAGAAGCCCGTATACAAACAAGGCACAAGGGGTTGGGGGAAGCCCCCTGTTACAGTACCATGGAGAGGGAGGGCGGCCAGTGGAGGTACTGGAGACCAGCCTCAACTGCTACGGGCCTCAGACACAGCCCATGTGGGAGGGGCAGCCAGGGTGGTTCTGAAAGCCAAGGGCAGCCAACACCACCTCCAGGCCCCATTCCATGGTCAGTGGGGACAGAGTAGGGCCTGCCAACTGGGCTGGGAACAGGGCTCTGTCCCTGCCCTACATTCAAGCGTCGCTCCCTCTGACATTTTGCAGGGTCTCCAGGCGCTTTAGAGGCTAGGGTAGAAGGAGTGGGTGGGAACTGGTATCTCCTCATCCTATAGTTCTGCCTGGCCAAGGGCTGGTCCCCTGTTCCCCAGAAGCTTCTGCCATGCTCCAGTACCATCTCAGAGTGGCCCATCTGCACCTCCCTTTGTCCCTCTGTCCCTTTGGGCTGTGTTCCCTGCTAGTTTGGTCCATGGCCCAGGAGAAAGGCGTCAGAGAGTCATGGAAGGAAGTCTTTCTGGGACCTGCTTTCTGGCTCATTAGCTCTCTGGAGTGAGAAGGCAGGTCCCGAGAATGGCCCCTGGGCAGCCCTTGGCGGGACCCCAGCTGTGCCGCGCAGGGGCCAGGGAGCCACAGCTGGGCCCTGTCAGTAGTTTACTCTTGGCAGCAAAGTCGGTCCAGTGGCTATGGCTCAGGGTGGACCCAGTGTGAGGAGGGGGCATCACCACGCAGGGGCCTTTTCCTCCTGCTTTGGCAGAGGCCCTTGGTTTGGCACGGGCAAAGGCTGGCACGTAGCGAGTCCGTGCACCATCCGTGTTGCACAAGCACAGGCCAGGACCAGTGAGCCCCCCGTGCACCCAGACACAGGGCACAATGTGCTGGAATGGCAAGTCCTGCAGGGGGATGCCCAGTGGCGGTGCCCCAGAGGCATAACTTAACGATAAATAGGAAGGAGGGGATGTGGGGAGACGGCATGGGCCAGGAGGTCATCAGTAGTATCGGTCCCGGGTCTGCCAGCTGGTGACCCAGTGTTTCTTGGTGGGCACAGTGCTCCCTGGAGGCGGATAGCGCTCTTCCTCCCGGATCCGCACTGCATGGTACTTGGGCATGATCCGGTAGTAGCGGGTCCGCTTAAAGAAGTCGCACTGGAGTTGGGGAGAAGAGAAAGCATGTCAGCCTCCAGCAGGGGAAGGCGTGCCCGGTGTCCTCCTCCCTGGCCGGTCCTCAGAGCCGGGACTCGACTCACATGCTCCATCTCCCTGCACTGAGACAGACACGGGCCCGAGCTTCCCCACCCCAGGCCCAGGGGAAAGAAGGAAGGGAGGAAGGCAGACAGGAGAGGGCAGGCAGATGGAGATGAGAGGCAGCTGCAGAGACCAGGGCGGCTTGGCCAGGAAGGGAGGGAGGCTGTCTGCCCAGACCAGCTGGGGGAGGGTAAGCCCGCTCCTGGGGTGGGGGTGCCCAGAAGCGACAGTGCTGGTTCCCTCCTTCCCTGGGGAGGGATGCAGGTACAGGATCATTCTAGACAAGTGCTGTGGCCGCAGAGATGGGGCCTGGCCTTGGCTGTGGATTTTTTTTTTCCAGTCCCCAGGAAGGAAAGTGATCACAGGGAGGATCTTATGGCACATCTTGGGGTCCAAGTCCATCACAGCCAGACCCGCGGGACAGAAAGGAAGTCAGACAGAGTGGCCTGCCCTCCTCGGTGGTGGAAGGGGCAGGTGAGGGCACAGCCAGGCCTCAAGGAAGATGAACAGAGAGGACAGAGTCAGAGGCCCCGGCTGGCTCCCGGGCTCGGGGAGCTGGGCCCGCAGGCCGCTTTACCCGGTGGGCCGGGGCGGGGGGCTCCCCCTCAGTAGTCGTCGGTCAGCCTCTCTGTCTCTGACGGCTGGCTCTTCATCTCCGCCTTCTGCCTCTTGGCTTCATACAGGGCACGAGTGCGGGCTCGCTTGAAGAAGCCGCACTGGAGGGAGGAGGTGGGAGGCGCCATCAGGGGCCCTGGGTGTCCCGGCCAGCAGTACTGGGGGCGGGGCTGAGGGCGGGAGCCTGGGGGTGTGGCCAGAGGCCGGAGCTCCTGGGCGCCCCGATCCAGCTCGCAGTTCCCCCCAATAATCCCAGGCAGGGGAGAAGTGAAGGCTGGGGTGGGGGGGGGCTGTGATGGAAATGAGGACAGGAATGGGGAGCTGCGGGATGAAGGGAGGGTCAGTAAGCATGGGCTGGCGGGAGTGAGAGTCCCCACCACGAAGGCGGGCTGGGGTGCTAACCTTCCACAGCAAGAGGATGATCAGCCCCAACAGCAGCAGCCCCGCACCCACGGACACCAGCACCAGCCACAGCTCGATCTCGGCCGGCAGCTCCTCCACCAGCTCTGAGTCGATATCCACAGAGAACTGATGGACAGAGAAGCGCCTCAGCGCTGAGTCGGCCCCACTGGCCCCATAGCCCTCATATGCACCTTTGCCCGGCTGCACCGGAGACCCTGCTGTTTGACCTCCTGCCAGCAGGGGGCAGCCAGGGACTGGGAGAAGCCTCTGCCTGCCCACCTGACACCAGCAGGTGCTTGGGCCGGCTTGTTTTTCCTCTGCAGACCCGCTGCTGTGTACACAATCTGGCTTGGGTACCAGCTCCGCCCCTGAAGGACTGTGTGATCTTGGACAAGTAATCACGCCCCTGAATCTTCATCCAGCGCCCTCTGATAAGGACATCAAAATGCCTCCCTCCTAGGAGCACAGGGGCCGAGGTACCGGTTCGGGAACTAGACTACCCAGGTTCGAGTCTAGCTGTGCCACTCAGTAGCTGTGTGCCCTTGGGTAAGTTACTTCACCACTCTGAGGTTCGTCTGTATTTTTAAAATGTTTGATACAAAGAAAATTAAAGGTCCCCAGGAATTTTGTTCTCTAAAAACGAGCATCTCCATGACCTCACTATGGTCCCTGCCAATTGATAGAGGCCAACCTCCTCCAGGGCCGCTGTCATTGGAGGAAATGCGCCACACCGGACCGATTCAATCTCTTGCTCAAAGACATTGAGAGCCTTCCTAGCTGTCTGCCCTTCTCAACAACGCTCTAAAATATCCCTGTACCCCTATCTTTGCATACTGGTCTCATTAGCTCCCGAGAAAAGGCTATGCTGGGCTTGAGCAAAGGAAATGGGAGCTTTAAATTTTAATGGATATTGACAAATTTATCTCCAAAGGAATCCACCAATTTATACTCCAGTTAATACCACTTCACTCCACCCATCAGCACCAGACAGCACTACTCTTTTTAGTACCCTACGCTCTGACAGGGAAAAATCTTGTTTCTGATTTTGTTTTTTTTTGTGGGGGGGTATTGGGATTAAACTCAGGACCTTGTGCTTGCAAGGTAGGTGCTGTGCCACTGCGCTAAATCTCCGGCCCTGTTATTTTTATGGGCATGGTGGCACATGCCTATAATCCCAGCACCTGAAAGGCTGAGGCAGGAGGATCACAGCGAGTTCAAGGCTAGCCTGGACTACACAGAGAGTTCAAGGCCACTCTGAACTACATAGCAAGACCCTGTCTCAAAAATCCAAATAAGTAAGTTAAACATTCGTATTTCACAGGGTGTGGCGGTGCATGCCTGGGAGGCTGAGGCAGGAGGACTGAAGTGAGTTCAAGGCCAGCCTGGGCAACATTGGGAGTCACTGTCTGGAAAAACAAAAACAAGCTTTGTATTTCCTCTATGTACACCCTTCCTTCATATATTTTATCTTTAAATGTTTACATACATAAATATATATATATTTATATATGTATATATATATATATATATAAAACTATACACCAATACTTTGTCATATATTCTGTAAACTTTTAAAAAGTAGTGTATCTGAACCTTTTAGTGTCTTTACTGTCACTTTTACTAATACAAATTTAAATTTTCATTTACTCTAATTTGCCTGATTTTTTTCCTTTGTGACTTTTGAGTTTAATAAGGTAACTTACTCTCTCCCTAATTAAAGGTTACTTTTTCCCCCTCCGTACTGAGGATGGGACCTAGGACCCCCACAATGAACTACAGTCCCAGCGCCATCTGTTTTTTTTGTTGTTGTTGTTTTGTTGTGTTTTTTTTGGTCTTTTGTGATAGGGTCTCTCTATTTAGCCCAGTTGGCCTCAAAGTTTTGGTGATTCCCCCTGCCTCGGCCTCCTGAGTGCTGGTTATAGGTGTGCACCACCATGCCTGGCTCAACTCATTTTTAATTTTGAGAAAGGGTCTCCCTAAATTGCTTAGTTGCCCGAAGTGGGCCTATACTTTTGATCCTTCTGCTGAGCCTCCCACAGCGCCAGAATTACAGGCCATGAAGCCCAACTAATTAAAGGTTACTATTAAACCAGTCCCTGTATTTTATCCTGGTACACGTTTAATTCCACATTTAAATGTTTCATCTGACCCCGTGTTATGGGCTTATGGTTACGGCGACAGGTAGAGATTTGTCCTTATTTTCCAAATGTGTTTTCCCAACGAAATTCAATAATCTTTCTCTACCAATTAAAAATACAATCTATATCAAACCAGGTTTCTGCTTCATTGATCTTTCTGGCCCTTCCTATACCTCTTTTACACCACAGTCATTTACTTCAGGAAATGTACAACAATGTATTTATGCAGTCCTCCATTTTCCTATATATATCTCCTATATATCTCCATTTATAACCTTTTCACAAAAAGTATTAGCCATTTCTTCCAGATGTAACTTGGAATCAAGTTTGGAAACCTCTTTTTGTTTTTTCTCCCAAGTTTTTTGAAACCCACTGAGACAGGAATAATTTGGAAAGAACTGACAACTTGATTATACTGACTCCTGGGTTGGTGCAATCCTCCTGCCTCAGCCTCCCAAATAGCTGGGATTACAGACATGAACCACCATGCTTGGCTCCTGATTCTCTTATTGGGCCCAATTGCTTTTCAGCTGCTTCTCTTTGTTTGTTTTTGAGATGGGGTCTTGCTGTATAGTTCAGGCTGGACTTGAACTTGCTGTGTGGTCCAGGCTAGCCTCAAACTCATGGTGATCCTCCTGCCTCAGCCTCCCAAGTGCTGGGATTACAGGTGTGCACGACCATGACTTACTCAATTGCTTCTCTTTTCTGCCATGTGTACAGTCACACACATGGATATGAGCTGGCCCAGGGGATACCAGGGACACCCCCTTGTCAGCACAGTGCTTGCCCTTGGTGCCTAGGCACAGTGACCATGCAGGGCCTTTGAACCCAGTCCTTCCCCCATAGTTGTGCCCAGGCACCACCCCTCACAAGCAGTGCCACTTTGGGAAGGCCACTCAGTTACTCTGGGCCTCAGTTTCTCCAGCCCTAAAGAGATACAGCCCCAGCCCTCTTTTTCCTGGAGCCCTGTGCAGACTGAGTGAGCTCAGGCAGTGGCTCTCAACCCTGGCTACTTCTCAGGGTCACACCCCAGGGACACAGACTCAGCCACTCTGGGGCGTATCCAGACTCCGGAAGCCCTCCAGGCAAGTCGGATGTGTCCCGAGGTGCAGAAGCATACAGCTCAAGGTGACAACATGCTCTCCAAAGATGCCTGCTGTCCTCGTCAACATGTGCACTTACCAACGTGGTCTTGTTCTCCATGCTGAGGGAGGGGACACTGGTTCGCAGGAAGAGAGTGGCCCAGCCATCTACCTTGACTCGGTCAAAGTCTCTGTAATCCTAGAAGCAGGGAGAAGGCAGACAAAGGCAGCAGCTGAAGCTCCCCCCTGAGCCTCTCTCTTGACCCTAAGCACCCCACTCCCTTGCCCTCCCACCAGGCAAAGGAGGGTCTTGTTCTCCATGCTGAGGGAGGGGACACTGGTTCGCAGGAAGAGAGTGGCCCAGCCATCTACCTTGACTCGGTCAAAGTCTCTGTAATCCTAGAAGCAGGGAGAAGGCAGACAAAGGCAGCAGCTGAAGCTCCCCCCTGAGCCTCTCTCTTGACCCTAAGCACCCCACTCCCTTGCCCTCCCACCAGGCAAAGGAGGGGTCCGCCAGGCCTCTCCTACACACACACACACACACACACACACACACACACACACACATCACTCACTCACTCACTCCCTCACAGCAGACAC